TCATTGTGGGTTTTAGGTCTATTTAAGTTGTTTGTCTGTTCTTGATTTAATGTTGGTAAGTGATGGTTATCCAGAAATATGTCCATTTCCTTTGATATTTCAATTTTTGTGGAATATAGGTTTTCAAAGTATGACCTGAAAATTGTCTGGATTTCCTCTGTGTCCATTGTTGTGCTCCCCTTTTCATTTATGGTTTTGTTAATTTGCATATTCTCTCTCTGCCTTTTGGTTGATTGTTGATTTTCTCAAAAAAAATCAACTCTTTGTTACATTGATTTTTTTGTATTGTTTTCCTGGTTTCTATTTTGTTGATTTCAGCCCTCAAGTTGATTATTTCCTGGTGTCTACTCCTATGGGGTGAATTTGCTTTTCTCTGTTCTAAGGTTTTCAGTTGGGCTGTTAATTCTCTTATGTGACTATCCTCTGTTTTCTTCATATGGGCACTTAGTGCAATGAACTTCCCTCGTAGCACTGCTTTCAAGGTGTCCCATAAGTTCAGGTATGTTGTATCCTCATTCTCGTTGAATATTGGAAAGTCCTTAATTTCTTTCTTTATTTCTTCTTTGACCCAGGTGTGGTGGAATTGCACATTGTTCAGTTTCCATAAGTTTGCAGGTTTTCTGCGATTTGTGTTGATGTTGAATACCAATTTTAAAGCATGGTGGTCTGATAAGATACAGGGGACTATTCCAGTTCTCTTGTATCTGTTGAGGTTTGTTATGCCACCTAGTATGTGGTCAATTTTAGAGAAGGTTCCATGTCGATCAGAGGAGAAGGTATATTCTTTTGTGTTTGGATGGAATGTGCTATAGAAGTCTGTTAAACCCAGTTGAAACATAACTTCTGTTAGTTCTTTTGCTTTTTTTTTTTTTTTTTTTTTTTTTTTTTTTTTGAGTTTCTGATTTATGGTCCTGTCTAGTGTTGAGAGTAGTGTGTTGTAGTTTCCTAGTGTAAGTGTGTGAGGTTTATGTGAGCTTTGAGTTTTAGTAGTGGGTTTTTTTTTTTTTAAACAAATGTGGGTGCCTTTGTATTTGGGGTATAGATGTTCAGAACTGAGACTTTGTGACTTTGTGTTGATGGATTTCTTCCGCGATGAATACGAAATGACCATCTTCATCTCTTTTGATTAATTTTGGTTTGAAGTCTAACTTGTTAGATATTAGGATAGCCAAGCCTGCTTGCTTCTTGGGTCCATTTGAATGGAAGATCTTTTCCCAACCCTTTACCCTGAGGTAATGTCTGTCTTTGAAGCTTAGATGTGTTTTTTGTATGCAGCAGAAGGATGGATTCTGTCTTTGTATCCATTCTGTAAGCCTATGTCTTGTTATAGGTGAGTTAAGACCATTAATGTTGAGGGTGACTAATGACCATAGATTGTTGATGCTTGTTTGTTTTAGATTTGTTGTTGGTAGTGGTATTGTGAATATATTTGTCCTGCTTTACCTTTGGTTTCTGTTGTAGTTAGATTATCTGTTGCCTATGACTTTGTGAGCATAGTTAACTTCTTTGTGTGGAATTTTCCTTCCAATACTTTTTGTAGGGATGGATTTGTAGATATGTATTGGAAAATCTGGTTTTGTCATTAAATATCTTGTTTTCTCCATCTATAGTGACTGAGAGTTTTGCTGGGTAGTAGCCTGGGCTGGCATCCATGGTCTCTTAGTACTTGTAGGACATCTATCCAGGACCTTCTGGCCTTGAGGGTTTCCATGGAGAAGTCAGGTGTAATTTTGATAGGTCTGCCTTTATATGTTACCTGTCCACTTTCCTTCGCTACTCTTCATATTCTTTCTTTATTCCTTATGCTAGGTGCTTTGATTATTATTTGTTGAGGGATCTTTTTTCTTTGGTCCAGCCTATGTGGTGTTCAGTATGCTTCTTGTACTTTCATGGGCATGTCTTTCTTCAGATTGGGAAAGTTTTCCTTGATGATTTTGTTGAATATGTTTTCGGCACCTTTGAGCTTGGCTTCCTCACCTTCCTCTATGCCTATTATTCTTAGGTTTGGCCTTTTCTTGGTGTCCAACATTTCTGAATGTTTTGTGTTAAGGATTTGTTGGATTTATGATTTTCTTTGATGAATCTATTTCCTCTAGTTTATCTTCCGCGCCTGAGATTCTCTTTTCCATCTCTTGAATTCTGTTGCTTATGCTTGAGTCTGTAGTTCCCTATCTTTTGCCCAGTTTTTCTATTTCTAGCATTTCTTCTGTTTGTGTTGCCTTCATTTTCTCTATTTCAGTTTTCAAGTCTTGAACCATTTCCTTCACCTACTTAATTGTTTGTTCTTGCATTTCTGTACTTTCTTTACTTCCCTTAAGAAATTTGTTCATTTCTTCCACTTTTTTGTTTGTTTTTTCTTTCTTTAAGGGATTTTCTCACATCTTCTTTGAGGGCCTCTATCATTTTTATGATGATAAATTTTAAGTAGTTCTCTTCTGCTTCATCTGTTTTGTTGTTGTGTCCCGGTCTAGTTGGTATAGATTCCCTAGATTCTGGTGTTGTTGTGCTTGTCTTTCTTTCTTTCTTTCTTTTTCTTTTTCTTTTTCTTTTTTTTTTTGTTAGGTGTTTTCTTGTATTACGTCTTCCCATAGCTTCTTACAGTAGGTGTTGGTGGGGTCTCTCCCTCTCTCTATGGTACTTCCCTGGTGGACTTATGTGGGTCACGGGTTCAATATCTGCAGTTCTGTGTGGTCCAAGCTCTATAGGAGGTCTCTCCACAGGCAGGGTCCCAGGGATGGGGTTCAGCCATCAGGCTCCAGGAGAAGACTGGCAATGGGGGTTAAAGATCTGAAGGCCAGAACTCTGGATGTTCCTTGTGCCTATAGGCAGATCTATCCTGGGCCTGGTACTCTCCAACTGAGGCTTCTTTATGGGGGGTCAAGGATCATGCTGTCAGGTACTCAGAGTGGTCCTGCAGAGATAGGCAGATCTCTGGGAGGGGCCTGGGACTTCAGTAGAGGACCGGTGGTGGGGGTCAGAGACCAGGCAGGTAGAAATTACGGGTGATCCCACATGTATAGGCAGGTCTCCTGTGTTCAGACCCGCTCCCAGAAGTTCCCCGAAGTTGTGTGGACTATTGGCTCCACCCTCTGTCCCAGTGCTCAACCAGAGTGGTGGGACAGTGGGTAGGTTAGGAGGAGGGCTGGCTGGCAGTGGGGGTGGGTGGGGGTGTATCAGAGCTCCAAGAGCGCTCTCAATGGGGACAGGACACAGGAGCAGGGTGATCCAGAGCCAACCCAGGGAGTTCCCGGGGGAGGGTTTAGGGGAGAGGCCTCCCAAATTGGGCCCAGACTACCTCTAGCCAAGGCCTGGCAATAGAGGACAAAAGCTGGGCTGATACTCAAGATGTTTCTGCACCGATCTTGTGTCATAATTTTCAAACTTTTATTTCCTAAATATGCTGAACATATTTATGTTTTTAATCCTTTTTATGTATAGAAAATTTCAAACATACCAAACAGTATGGTGATCTCATTTTCTCATGACTTAATTCCAATAATCATCAAATATTGGTTATCTTGTTAAATATACACCTTCATTCAGATCCCCCAGATTATTTTGAAGCAAAAGTACGTCATCTGTAAGTATTCCAACACATATACACACACATAGTGAGAATATTAAAATTGTGTTTGACTACCCTTCTCAAAGGTTAACAGTAATTCTCCTGGGCAATGTTCACATTTACCACTTGTCTTGAATTTAAAATAAAAATTTAAAATATAGGCCAAATAATTTTTACTGTACACACACACACATACACACACACGCACACACACACACACACACACACACACACACACACACACACACACACCAAGCATTTTTCCTGTAAAGTTCAATGGGATAGACTTTGCTGAAATCATCCCATGATATTGCTAAATATGTTTCACTGTCACCTTTATGGCTCCTAAGTCAGAAGTTAGATCTCGAGGCTCAGTCATTGAATAAATATTTGAATTTATGTTAAAAGAACACTTAATAGATATCGCTTTCTCCCATCAGGAAGTAAAAACGCTTTGGGATTTATCAGGCAGAATAGCATTTTTAAGAGAAGCTCTTCAGGAGGTATATACTTATGCCCATAAATCACATGAAACAAAAACCTGGTCATAACAAAAGTGCTTGTTCATACCTGGGTGGATTGTGGCTTCTGACACTTTTAATTGGGAGTAAAGTCTTATCACTACTAGTCTTATTATATCTCACTTTCTTGTCCCTTGCTGTAAATCCAAGTTCTCACTTACCCTAACAAAATTTCTTTTTTCTTCATTCTACAATCTGTATATGACAGTCACAGAATCAAAATAACAACAGTATGATTGTTACAAGTTGTTTCTTTAAAGTTCTTTTCACACTTTAAAAGTCTTCATGTAATCTTTAGTATAACTCAGGAGGTAGTGAAATTCCTCTATTTGGGATGCATTATCATTCTTTGATAATGTTGACAGAGCTGGAATATGCCTAAATAAACCTGAGTTTATTTGTCAATTCTGAGGAATATCAATCAGAGAAAAATTTCTAAAAGATAAGAAATAACCTATATTTAAAAGATAGATTTTTTAAAGTTACTCAGGGAAGTGTAAGACAGAAGGTTACTTCAAAGGTTTTTTTATTCTAAATTATTACTTAAAACTTAAGTTAATATGTATTTTCATCATATTAACCCTCTTTTCTCAACTCCTCCCAGATCTCCCTCCACTTTTTTACCTATTTATTTTATGTTATTTCCTTTAAAAAAAAAAACCTGGAAATCTAGTTTGTGTTGTTCAGCTCTTCTTGGGTATGGGGACTACCAAGAGTGTGGTTGATATACCTGACATCACAGACCTTTTCAAATCTGTGTGGCTTTTATTCCCAATTCTTTACATTTTTACATTGAAATGATTTTTCCTAGGGAAGGAGAGAATACTGGTTTTCTTATTTTGTAAACCTTTAATCATTTATTTGATTCTTTTAAAAGAATGTGCAAAATAAACCCAATTCTTGTTTCTTCACAGATCTCCTAAAGAAATGTCTTTATCACTGATAATGGATCAAGGCAACAGGTCCAGCTTTCCACTTATGAAGTGTCAAAGTCAGGTGACTAGGTTGAGTATGAATTCTTGTCCAGAAGCATATTTGATGCCAGTGGAAACAGGACCAGAGATAAAAAGGATCAAGTTTACCTTTAGTAGCAAGGAAGAGGAAAACTCTTTTTGTGGACAATCATCTAAGACAGAATCTACACACATAATTACTGCAGTCACTTCTCTTTCACCACTTTTAATATTCAACAAATTGTGTTGCACTTTGCTGTTAAACATTAGTGACAGAGATAATGATGAAAATACTGTGCATGATTACATTGTATGTGGTAACCTTGAGTTTAATCTACAAGATCTTTTTAGTATGAACCACCTACTGGCATTCCCAAAGAAACAGTCAATAGGTAATTTGAGGGGTAATTTTTTATTTTATGTTTATTTGGATCAGAAGATTTTGAAAATTGGTTGATAGAATTTCTGGACAGAATTTGTGATGTGTTTTTCTTGTAGAACATATGGAAGATCTTGTCTCACTTCTTGCAGTATTGCAAAAATATTGTTTTCATGTCACATCACCTACCGGTGTCCTGAATCTAATGAAGTTATGGCTTTTGAAACACATGAAATGTGAAATAATCAATGGATTTACAGAAATATACCTTTATAAAAAGCTGCGAAATTGTGGGGCACTTTTCTCTTGGGAGCTAAGAACAACATTTGAAGGAATTTTAACAGTATATTGCAGGTAATGTACATCCAATTCAAACCAGTTCAGAGAACTTTGTGTGTCTGAGTGGTCTAATAACTACCTCTGTGTAGAATTCTGTGCTAGGATATGTGACAGTCATGGCCTGGTATTGTTTGAATGGATAGAAATGTAATTACTTTGCTTTAGTCTTTTGTTTTGTCTATTTTAGAACCTTACAGTTATTTTAGAGTTTACCCCTTCCCTATACTGAGCAAAAGATATGTAATCAGGTCAGTAACCTGACTGCTACTGAGTTAATTAGTACAGAACACGTGTACTGATATAATCAGAATTTTCTTAATGAAACCATGTATTTTTTATTATTGATCTTAGTGTTTATGAGTGAATAGTGATTACTATAATATTTTGCATGTGACTATTTGTATTGTTGCAGTTATGTGACATTGTGTTTGGGTTTTATTGCAGGAATCAAGGAGTTTTGTTTCAGTGTCTTGATCACCTCATCAAAGTTCTCCCTGAAAAATGTTTCTTCCAATATCTGAAATTTGGAAATGATGATTTCCTGATTAATTATTTGTCATCTACTTTGGAGAAGGAACTAGTTACCTTTTGTTCTCTTTCTACTTCTGCCTTTGAATATGTTAGGGATGGATTTATGCATCAGTGTGAGACAAGTAAAACAAATAATTGTATCACAACTGCTTCAGAGAGAAAGTACAAAATCCGTCTGCACAAGCGAGAACTACAGAGAGAGAGAATGATAAAAGACTTGAATCTGAAAGTAAATGGTGGCAGTTATGTGGAGATGACTTTGGCATTAGCTGAGACTCAGTTGAAATCAGACCTTATTGTGAAGAAACTAGCCAATTCGTAATTGCATTTTCATAATCTTGTTTTAAAATATTTCAGTGAGACAAAATAAGAATCTGTGTTATCATTAACTTTGGAATGAATGATTATTTGTTTGGGGCTTTGTTTTATGTTAGTAGGAGGTTTAGCAGCATCTTTGGCTGCATCGACCTATTAGATATTCATAATATTCCCAACCTACCTTCGCAGTGTAATTAAGGCCAGGATCCCAGGAAACCATTTGCTATGCAAGGACAGCCCACATAGCAAAGAAATAAATCCTATAATCCAAAGAACTAAAATGTCAATAACTTAGATCGAGAAATGTTTTCTTAAATTTACAATTTAAATAAAAAAATATATTGCTCTGTTAAAAAAAAATGATTCTTTTTTGGGTGTTTTGCTTAGTAAAACATGGTATGTTAAAAAAAAACAACTTAAGATGGGTGCATTAAATTGGATTGTCAGCAGCCACTTCTTTATATACCTAGCTCTTCTAAAAAGTTAAATGTAGTGTTGAGTGAGACCAGTTTGTGAAGCTCGGGTTATATTGCACTAGACAACTTCTCTAAAATTATACAACTCTGCAAGAATATAAAGAACTCAGGATGTTTTTCTTAAAAGCACATCTCTCTCAAAGGACTAAGTGCACCTCACAAGCTACTATACTATCAAAAGTCAAATTGTGGGGCTGGGCAGAGAGCTTAGTTGGTAAGCATTTGCCCTGCAAGGCTGGGGACCTGAGTTCTGATCTTGAGATCCACAAAAGCTAGATTCAGTAGCATGGAGCTATAATGCAGTGCTCCTACAATGAGATGAGAAGTGGAGACAAGAATCCCTGGAAACTCAATAGGGGTAGCTTGATACATGAAGTGACAAACAATAAGAGGCTCCATCTTAAACAAGATGGAAGGTATACCACACATGTTCCTGTGCACACACACACACACACACACACACACACACACACACACACACACATTATATGTGCAAAGACATCGAAGATGTTTTTGATGCCTTCTGAAATTCCAACTGTAGGCAAAAAAAAAAAAAAAAGAAAGAAAAGAAAAGAAATACAAAATTCTAACTAAACTAAGGAATATGGTTCTCCGTTGAGACAGAAATTTAAAAATAAGTGAAAATTCCTTAAAGAACTGATGTATAAGATTGTATAAGATCTAGTGAGAGACATTTGAAATATATAAAAAATTCAACCTACATTCTGTTTCTGAACAAGAATTGTAAAAAAAATGCATTTAGTATGTGTGTGGTTTGCAAGTACCATGGTATACATGTGAACTTCAGAGAACACTTGGGGGTCATTCTGCTTCCACTATGTGGGTCCAGGGGTTGACTTGGGTCATCAGGCTTGGTGGCTAAGGCCACCCACTGAACCATATTTCTGAAAAATAATTATTTGACTAAGATGCTGATTACCTTCTCAGTTGAAAGAGCTAAAGATGATTGTAGAAAGTGGCACCTTATGTTTACATGCATGAAGTACTAATTGCTCCTATGCTTTCCTTGTAATTAATGCTCTGGGCATGTAAATGGTTTGAAAAGAATAGGGCTTATTTTCTTTGTTATATATAATTTTTTATTTAATATTTTTAATTTAATATTGACAACTGTCAGTTTGCCTAAATCCTCTAGAGAAAAATTTTCAAGACATCTGAAGTGTGAAAATTGTTTAAATCTGGGCCTAGATTTAGTGTAAGGTCAGGATATACTTATTGACAGGTATCTCTACACCTATCAATGATCTCAAAGTCCATATAAATACATTTTTAAAGATTCAGGCATTATACTGGCCTGCCCCTGTCACCTTTCAGAATGCACTCAGGCAGTACCCTCGTCAGCCCAGGGTTCCATGATTACATAGTCTGCACTCAGGTGCAAAGGACCCCTTTAAAAGAAAGACCCCCGCCCACTTATGCTCTCTTTCCTGCTGTTCCCCTGGGCAGACAGGACTTTTCCTGTCTCCCTCTTCCCTCTTCTCTTCTCTCATCTGTATGTGTCTGTGTCTCTTTACCTCTTGTCTCTTTCCTTCCCGGTTCCCTCCCCTTTCAATATATATATGTATTTTAACTTAAGCTCTCTGCCTGACATGTTTGTCCCTCCGCTTAAGACACGCTCACCTCATGGAATTCGACAAAGTTCCCCTCTCGCATTATCATAACTACATTTGTATGCATATCTGTGCATACATAAGGTTAATTTGGTTTTCAGTATTAGGGGTTAAGCCTAGTTTCCCATACCAGCTAAACAAATGCTCTACCACCTCTCTTACTTAAAAAATAATTAAAATATAATTACATCATTCACCTCTTCCCTTTTCTTCGGCCAACCTCTCCCATATCTCCTCCCAGCCCCTCCCATGTTCCCATACTGTCTCCCTCTGAAACTGATGGCCTCTTTTTCTTTATTTTTGGTGGTAGTAGTTGCTGTGGTGGTTGGTGGTGGTGGTGGTGGTGATGGTTTGTGTGTGTGTGTGTGTGTGTGTGTGTGTGTGTGTGTGTGTGTGTGTGTGAGTGCTCATGCAACAAAGGTATAAATGTAGCCTGCTGAGTCTATTTTTGTTGTTTTTGTGTCTGTGAATTCTGGCCTGACCACTGTATTATATAACAAATTAGGGGACTCATCCCTGGGAGTGGCTACTTGCCTATAGTACTTTGTCTAAAGGTGGGTCCCTGTGAGATTTTTCTCCTTTCTGCATTAGCATATTTGTTGATCATTGTTCAGGTCTTGTTTAGGCAGTCGTGTTTAAGAGACGCAGTCTCCCGGAAGACTTTTTGGCCCTCTGGCTCTTTCTACATTTTTCCCCATCTCTCATGTTCCCAGAGTCTAGGTTCAGGAGCTGTGTTGAAATTTTACCTGTTGGGGCTGGGATCCACATGATCTGTGGATCTTTGCAGTGTATTCAGTTGCAGCTTTCTGTAATCATCCTGTGACAGGACCTCACTAAGATATCTAGGCTGATCTTGAACTCACTCTGTATCCCAGTAAGCATTGAAACTTAGTCTTTCAGCCCCAGTCTCCCAGGTAGCTGCAATTATAGGCTTGTGTTACCTGGTCTAACTACATATGGTTAGTTCTGAACCTAAATTCATAAAGTATATAGTAATTAGTATTGTCACCTACTTGAGGGAAACGTTAAACCAAATTGGAGGGAGGCACACAAACATCTTGATATTACACCCTTTGTAATAATTTTAAAAACTAACAGTAGGCAAGTGGATATTTTATTGTCTTGATAATATCCCTTTATACCATTTAGAATTGGCTAAGTCCCCCCACTCCCAGTCTCAGGGGAATAAAAGAAATATAATCAACTTTTCTGTCCATCTTTTTCTCCTAATAAAATAAAAACCAAGCCATTTAAGCTAGAAACCTTGTAAATCTTTGTTTTCCCCCTTTTCTCTACCTCCCTTTTCCTCTTTCCTCTAGACACAGAGAAAAACACTTTTTTGTTGTTTTTGTTTTTTGGATACAGGGTTTTTCTGTAGGTTTGGAGAATGTTCTGGAACTCTCTTAGAAAAATAGGCTGGCCTTGAACTCACACAGATCTGCCTGCCTCTTCCTCCTGAGCGCTGGGATTAAAGGTGTGTGCCACCACTGCCCAGCGAGAAAAAGCATTTTTTATTTCATGTTCTGTAAGTTTAACTTGCAGAAAAATTACCTCCCATTTTCAGAATTTGTGGTTGTAAACCTTTTTCTCAGGCATTTTTTCACACATGGTATGCTTAATTCTAAGGACAGTTGATACAATAGAAAGTCAAACTGTATGCTTCATTGAGTTCTTCCAAGGGCTTATTCTGTTTGCCATTTAGGGTTATCTGTATCTGTGATTTGAGTTGCTTATTGCCTCAACAACAGCAAAAGCCTTATTTCCCTTTAGTCCATATTCTTGGAATGCTAATGGTCCAGTCATATCTTCAAAATAGCTCTAACTTTTATTGGTAGATTAAAGAAAATGTCTTAATTTATAGTCCATAGGTATTTTGCATTTTAAATGCTGATAACATATTGTACCTGTTATGGTAAAGCTTGTGGTGAACCTTGTTGGATTCCGTGGCTTGGGAGGGTGACTGGGTCATTGGACAAACTTGCCAGGCAGACAGAGTTTAGTGAGAAGATTTGTTAAAAAGGAAAGGGGGGAAATGAAAGAGAAAGGAGGTTCTGTCTGCCCCAGGGGAACAGCAGGAAAAGAGAGTGTAAGTGGGCAGGGGTCCTTCTTTTTAAAGAGGTCCTTTGCACCTGCATGCAGATTACACAACCGTGGAACCCTGGGCTGACCAGGGTACTGCCTGAGAGCATTCTACCTGGTGACAGGGGCAGGCCAGCATAATGCCTGAATCCTTACAGTACCGCTGAAACAAAAGTTCTCTGGCTTCAGCTCTTTTGTCCCTGTTTAGGACCTCATTTCTGTAATCTCTCCTGCCTGTTTTATTCAATAGGAGCCAGGTCCTGTTTAGATACTGACTTTTGATTAAGGATAGTAAGCCAAACACCACCGTACTCTCACTGTTTGGATAGTGGCCATGTACACTTTGCTGGATGAAAGTACTGGTGTTGGGGAGGTGGTTTGTGTGGGAGGGGACTGGGAGGATTGGAGGGAGGGGAAATTGCAGTTGGGATGTATTGTATGGAAGAAGAATATATTTTTTTTTTTTAAAGAAAGAACTTGGGCTTATAAATAGTTCAACATCATGGCCCTTAGTTCAGTCAGTTCTTTCCCACCTTTAACACCATCTTTACTTGTCCATTTCCTCACAGTAGTAGTCACTTAGGACAAATCATAAATAATGTTATGGTCAGTAAAGCATAGCACTTGTCATCAAAATGCTTAAACCTTACAAGTTCAGTCAGGAGTTAGAAGTACCATGTGCTCTATTAATTTCCTCTTGCATACCCAACTCCTCCTTTTGCTTTATTACAGTTTTCTTTTGTTTAGAAAGATCCTTTCCCCCCGCAGCTCCAGTGATTGTGGAGAGAACTTGGTTCTCTATGGAGGAAAGGAGTCTGTGTAGATCCTACTTGGAGTAGCTAGTCCTAATTTTCAAAGCTGAGAGTTATAATCACAGGAAATTAAGCCTTGGAATGAGATTAAAAGTAGACAGAAATTTTATTGTTACATCTAAGTCAAACCAAATGCTATTTTAAACTGCACTGCCAATTCAGAAAAAAAAATCCTTGTGTCAAAAATGAAGGGTTCTGTTATAGAATTGTTTCTAGCTGCTAGCTTTGATATCAGCACATACTTGAAAAACTTGGTTTAATTATTTCCTCTGTCTTTGTCTATCTGTCTCTAAGACAGAGTCTCGTTGTGTGGTCTA